TGTACAGAGGGGTTACAATTACATGGGCAAGATAATGAGTACATTTCTTATCAAGCATTGTAGCCTCCTCCTTTGTTTCCCCTTCCCATCCCTTTCCATCCTCCCCCTGCCCCCCCCATCCAAACCTCCCTGCTCCCCCTCCCCCACACCAAAGTTGTAAAGTTCATTTTTGACATAACGACTTGTGCATCTCATTGTTGCAATGGGTCCACCTGTATCCCTATTTAAACGATTTGGTTTTTCCCCGTCCCCTCCACAAATTATACCGACATCAAATACAGTGAAAGCAGGGGTTATACTGTGGGGGAGGGACATACAAAGCAACAAAGAAATAATCTTATAAATGTGCTAGAAACAATCGCATGAAAGAAAAAAACATTTGAATACATATCTAAGGGTTCATTTCCCTAACATCACCTTATCTGACCTTTTCTGCTTGACTCAGACATATACTAGATAATGCAAGTAAGGGAAACCATGGGACCTATGTTTCTTTGGGCCTGGCTTACTTCACTTAATATAATTTTTTCCAAGTCTTTCCATTTCTTAACAAACCTAATATTCTTATTGCATTATAGTTCTACCTTTACAATAGCTCAATATGGAGAAGTTATGGTAAAATTATGATAGATTCTGATAAAATTTTAATTTAAGCTATAATACAAATTATCTAGAAGATTATTAGAAAATATTTAGACAATTATTGTATAAAAAGTTCTGTACTTCAGTGATACTAGCTAATTGAATTGCCATCTTTACTTGATGGTACATGAAAGTTCTGCAGTTCATTTGCATGTTTTTAAGTTTTTAATTGTGTTGTTTTCTGTTTTAGGCCTTGAACCAAAGACAATGATTGATTTGACTGAATTTAAAAATAATAAACACTTAAAACAGCAGCAGTACAGAGCTGAAAACCAGATTCTTTTGAAAGAGGCAAGTGTGGTGCTCAATTTATTATTTTCTTAGTTAGACTAAAGAGAAGTACTAATAATTCATATTTCGCAGATTGAAAGTCTAGAAGAAGAACGACTTGATCTGAAAAGAAAAATTCGTCAAATGGCTCAAGAAAGAGGAAAAAGAATTGCAAACTTAGGTATAGTCACTTGTTTTATACCTTTAAAAGAATCATTGAAAACGAATCATTTTGGTCTTGGATTTTCTGTTTTTCAAAGATGCTTTTGAAAACTATATTATTATGGTGATATAAATGTAGCTACAAGCTCAGTAAATGAAAACTATGGTGTATGAATGTCTTTGGGTTGAAACATGAATCTTAAGCCCAAACTTTATAATCATGTATTTCTGACAAGTTTATAGGATTAGTTTCTTATGCTGTAATTAATGATAAAACTTAGGGACTTTATGTTAATAAATATTCTTCTTAATATGCTCCTTTTCCTTAAGGGATATTCCCTCTTGATACCTTTTGTAAGTAAAAATCATGTTTTATTGAGTTTACATTATATTTTTAGTTTGTTTATCTTATCTTTGTATAATGGAAATTGTAGTTTAGTTTGATAATAATCATTGCAGAGCTTTCTTTGTTAGAGGCTAGATAGATTGTTTTTAATTTAGCTCAGGTCTACTATTACACCTATGAAATAAGTAAGATTTTAGATTTTTAGCCTTCTGGTCATTAGCACACAGCAGATGTTTTCTAGATAAGTGAAACTATAATTTATTAGTAAAATCAGCAGTGTACTTATAATTCCTGATTCTTTAATTTCTATTTTTGTTCTTACTAGTTACTAGTTTAAACACATAATGGGCAAAGAATAATAGAGAAGGTGAAAATCAAGTTAGTTTCCTCATTTTACTAATAGTTTATTAAAAGATGTGGATTGAAAAGAAGTTGGATTAAAATTGATTCTAGTTTCAAAGAATTAAATCATTGGAATTAAAGAAAAATATCTTTTTAATTTGTTCATTTTTTAAATTATAGGATTAACCATTGAGGACCTGAAATTAACTGAAAACTTTTCTCAAGAAGAAGGTACAGGAAATAGAAAACTGAACTTTGTGAACCTCAGTATGTGTGAAGCACAATCGAAGGTAAAGAGCAAAAAGAGTGAAAGGAAATGTCACCAGTGCTTTCATTTCTTCTCCCTTTATCTCATTTTGGACTTCTGCTCTTTTATAGTTGCTTGCTTAAGTAACCTGTTGATACAAAGTTTGATTAATGAGACATTATTTACTCTGAATACAGATTGAGAATTCAGATAAAATAGAGCTGCTGCATAGGAGTTCCTCACTCAGTATTCCACCATCAGATCAGAATGAGACAGAGGAGAACATGATCATACAATCAATATCAAGAACGTTGCCTGAAATTCACTCTAGTGTAGCAAGTGGTGTGGATCCTTTTGTCTCATTAACCAGACATTCTTCATCTATGCAAATAAAAGATAATAATTCATCTCCAGAGACTATTACAATAAGAGAGATTTTTAAAGCACCATGTCTACAATCTTTAAGAAATCTAGAATCATTAGTCAGTACTTTCAGTAGAGAGAGCAATGAAGATATAACTGACTACTTAAGCTCTCTTTCTAATGAGTGTATGAAGAAACTGCCAGTAAGCCACCCAGCACAAGAGAAGACTAGCTTCATACAAATAAGTAATTCATCTCTCCAAGCTTCACCAACAGCTTCAGACTTAATGCAGAAGTTATCACTTAGGCAAAAATCTCAAGTATTTTGTCAACAAATCTATGACCATAGTGGTGACTTCGTTAAATTACAAATGGCAACATCAGAAGATGAACAGGTTCTCTTCCCAAAACAGTACACTGATCTCAGTTTGAAAGAAGATAATAGAAAAAGTAAAGTATCCTTACAAACTGAGAGTTTGAAAAGTAAGCTTGAAATTAATTGCTCAGATTCGGTGCCTACTGCTGCTCAGTCAAAATTCTCTCAGATAGATCCACTTGAAAATCTTATAGAACAGCTACGAAGAGAATTAGTATTTCTTAGATCTCAGGTGAGCTTTCCTCAAAATTATATTTAGTGGATAACTTTTTCATTACTTTGCTAACCAAATTCTGTAACAATTAGGAAATTTTTTACTTACCCAGTAACAATTTATACACATTCCATCAAAAGTCTAAAACTGAAATTGATTTGATATGAACCTGACTTGGCTAATATGTTAAATGTTTTTTAGAATGAAGTCATAGCACAGGATTTATTGATCAAAGAAGCACAGAGTAGAGATGCAGAGATAGAACTTGAACGTCATAGAATTCATGAAGAACAGGTAGTATAAAGATAGACTTTAAGAGAAATGATTGTGATATTAAAGACAGAAACCTTCATTATGTTTCTTTACTTTTTTCTAGGGGTTGTGGGATGAAGAGGTGGAAGGGAGATCACCATCTCTTTTGGCCTGTATTTATTTTCATAATTGTTATATCTAAATAGCCTCATTTTTGGTGTTTTAGTTTAATTTTCAAATTTGTTTGTAACTTAAAACCTGTTAACGTGTGATATTTTATAACACATCAATTTTATTCTCTTTGTTTTATTCAGAATGAATTTCTTTCCAGAGAACTAATTGAAAAGGAAAGAGATTTAGAAAGAAGTAAGACAGTAATAGCTAAATTTCAGAATAAATGTAAGTTTCTATTATCTTACTTTTCTATACCTGTTTTTCCTACACTAAAGATTTTAGATCTCAATAAACTAATACTTTCTCTGTTGTCTAACCTGTTTATCCTTAATTATCTCTATAATATAGGTTACTTTGTCTCTGCCACTCATTTAGTAGGTTTGCCTTGTTATTTTTACTGTCTGATACTGATCTTAATTTTAATTTTTGTGACCTATGTCTAGTCATTTCATATTATCTAATGAAAGTGAAGTTAGAAAACAAAAATTTTAATATAAAGCCTATTTAAGGTAAAGACATGTTATTTTTTTTTAGCTGTGAGCTAGGGGTATTTATAAATAAATGCACATGACTTAAATAAGTCTGCCAAGTAACTCAACTATTTCCTGTTGGATTTATAGTTGAATTTTTTGGTTTATTTATATTTTCATTTCACAGTGTATTTTTTCAGTGAATTATTTGTCATGTGTTTGTTACAATAATTTAAATTGTAGAAAAGTTCTAGTTATTCAATAAGTGCAAAATATAATTACAGTAAAAGAATTATTTGAAGAAAATAAGCAACTTGAAGCAGGTATGAAAGAAATACTACAAGCTATAAAAGAAATGCAGAAGGATCCTGATATTAAAGGAGGAGAAACATCTCTAATTATCCCTAGTCTTGAAAGACTAGTTAATGTAAGTCACTTTTATCATTGTAATTTCTATCTTTGACTACATCATGACTTGCTTCCAAGATGATATTCCATTACATATTGGTCTCCATGGTTTTTGATGCATTTGAGTCAATTGAACTTTTAATATATCCTCTTTATATATGATTTTTACCAGTTTGTCTATAATATACTAAGGTTGAATATGTGGTTGTGTGTGTACTGTTTGAGGTTTACTGAGCATCTTTAATCTATTATTATTGTAAAGTTTCCCATCATTATTCCTTCAATTTTTTTCTGCCTTCTTCTTTCTAGTACTATTTTTTGTGCAGTTTGATATTAGCTCATAGGTTCTTAGGTGCTCTTTGATCTCTTCTTTTTCCCGTTAGGTAATTGCTATTGATCTGACTTCAAGTTCTTTCTCACTTTATTCTGTCATCTATATTCTTCTGATTCAAAGATCAGCTTGCAACCAGTTGGTGTTTTGTTTTGTTTTTTTGGTCATGGGGCTTGAACTCTGAGCCTGGGCTGTCCCTGAGCTTTTTTGTTCAAGGCTAGTGCTCTACCACTTTAAGCCACAGCACCACTTATGGTTTTCTGGTGGTTATTTGGAGATAAAGAATCTCACAGACTTTCCTGCTCTGGATGGCTTTAAACTGCAATCCTCAGATCTCATTCTCTTGAGTAGCTAAGATTACAGGCATGTGCCACCAGTGCCCAGCTAATCAGTTGTTTCTAATACAGAATTCAGAGCTCTTTTTTGGCTTGCACTTCCCACTGGGCTTTTCCAAACAGGATACTTTGTGTTTTTGCACCAATGACAAAAAAAAGAGAAAAATCATAAGTCCCTGTATCTAGTAAATATGACAGAGTTGAACTTTAATGGTCCTGTTTTCTAGTCTTCAAAGACTGGTTAACTTTGTTGATTTTCTAGATTCATTAGTTTCTTTACTCCTTTTGTATTTGTGAGAGGTAGATCTGCTTTGAATTATCCCACAACTCTGAAAGTGTAATACAAGGAATTTATTTTAAATATTTAAAGGTTTATTGCCCATAATATTAGTAAGTATTTGTTATAGAAGCCTAAATACAATACATATTTTATACTACTGCCTAAGTATGTGTTGTTTTCATTATCTGACCAAGTTGAGTAAAGGTTATTAAACTGTTTCCCAAATTACTTCTTGTTTAAATAGAACTATTCTTTTTTTCTTTTCTTTCTTTATTTTTGATGGGTCATGGGGGCTTGAACTCTGGGCCTGGGTGCTGTCCCTGACCTCTTCAGCTCAAGGTGAGCACTCTACCACTTGAGCCACAGCACCACTTCTGGTTTTCTGGTGGTTAATTGGGGATAAGAGTCTTACTGACTTTCCTGCCTGGGCTGGTTTTGAACCATGATCCTCAGATCTCAGCCTCTTGAGTAGCTAGGATTATAGGCATGAGCCACTGGCACCTGGCTTAAATAGAACTATTCTTATCATTGAATTTTTTTTGAAAATATAATTAAGTAGTTAAATTATTTCTGTAACACTATAATTGGTAGCAGAAAGTGAATGACACTAGGACATTTAACATCTTGCTAAGGTCAGAAAATTATTTGATAAAATGTGTGTGAACCAGTTGAACTGAACAGTTTACTTCTGTATATTTTTTCTCAAGTCCCAGGTTTTACGTATACACACACACACACACTATGTAAGTATGTTATGTATGGGTATATTTATGTATGCTATTGTTGGAGAATTACAGACAGTAAATAGATTATAATAATATCTTAATATTTGATGTATTATTTTTGCCCATTCATTATGTTTGCATACTTTTATCATATTTAGTCCTTATTAAGACAACTATGTGGAAAGGAAGCAATGAAACCACAATTAACTGATGGTAGAAGCTATTCTTTTCTTAAGGCTTTTAATTCAGATGCTATTGCTTAATTTTGACTAAAACCCTATGGAATGGGCGAAGCTGACGTTATTTCTGCTTCTTTAGAAACACTGAAATGAAGATATAAACAATTTAAATCACTTTTCCAGCCAAGAAGAGACATTTTTATTTCAGTCCTTACTATCTTATTCCTATGTGGATGATTTTTATAGTTTGATAACCTACTAACAAATTGGAGTTGCTTATTATAATGAAGTAATTATTGTGCTTAGTATATGGTAAAGATTTTTCTAAATTCATACTTTTAAATAAAGTGAAATAGTATACATGACAATGAAAATAGAAAAATGCTTACATGTCAATTTTTATTAAGGGTAAATTTTTATTACTATGAATCTACTTTTTTCCCCTACATTTCTAATATATAAATATCCTAGGCTATAGAATCAAAGAATGCAGAAGGAATCTTTGATGCCAGTCTACATTTGAAAGCCCAGGTTGATCAACTTACTGGAAGGAATGAAGAATTAAGACAGGAACTCAGGGAATCTCGGAAGGAGGCTATAAATTATTCTCAGCAGTTGGCAAAGGCAAATTTAAAGGTGAGAATATATTAAATAGAAAAATGTGTTAAGCATAAGAATGTAAGAGAATTTATAGGGAACTTATTTAAAGAATTGCCTTATAAGAAAAATGTCCCTTGAAGTTTTCAACATTAAGAAAAATTTTTGGGAGTATTCTTATAAAAATTAAATGGAAGCCAGACACAGGTGGCTCACACCTGCAATCCTAGCTACTCAGGAGGCTGAGATCAGAGGACTGTGGTTTGCAACTAGCCTGTCCAGACTGTAAGACTCTGAACTCCAATAAACCACCAAATAACCAGGACTGAAGCTGTGGCTCAAGTGGTAAAGCACTAGCTTTGAACAAAAGGCATCAGGAACAGTGCCCAGGCCCTGAGTTCAAGCCACAGGACTGGCACACTAAGAAACAAAAACACAAATGAATAAAAATTAAGCAGAAATAAGTGCCTTATTATATAAATACAAACACAAAATTTCTGTCTTATATATATTAGGCACTTCTAACTAACAAAATGGAATTTAATTTAGGTAAGGAAAGTATGAGGTTATTGCTTCAGTTTGCTTTTGGATATTCAAAATGTGATTCTTATCCTTGTTTCCAGATAGAACATCTTGAGAAAGAAACCAGTCTTCTAAGACAATCAGAAGGATCAAATGTCATTTTTAAAGGAGTAGACTTACCTGATGGGATAGCACCATCTAGTGCCAATATCATTAATTCTCAGAATGAATATTTAATACATCTCTTGCAGGTATGGCAGATTTTTTATGTATATAAAAATAAAAAATGGCTATTATCTTAATTTGCATGAATTCCTTTGAGTACTCTAATGTGAGATACATTATTAGTGGATTACGGTAGTTTGAATAGTATAAACTTTAGTCCATTCATCTTCATGAGAAGCATAGTAATATATTTTCTTCATATGCATGTTTATTCATGGTGTTCACAGGTATTACAATAAGCAGCTACTAAAATTAATGATTAGTAATTGTATTTTTATGTTGCTTGTTAGAAAAGCAATTCAAGAATAACGTGATCGAGCTTTTTAGCTTCATCTTTAGGTATTATTTTATTTTTTTAACCACATTAAAAGTTTTTAAGCCATATTATCTTTTATGTTTTTTATTCTTTTATTATTAGTTAACCCATTAAATAGAATATTGTACTAAAATATTCTACTAAACTTTATTCTGCTTGTTTTTCAATTTGCTAGCTATGTTATGGGCATTGTAAAAGGAGTAATGAAAGGTGATTTTCATTATTACATTTGAAGTTTGAATACCTTAATACATACATTACCAACATAATTACAAAAGCAGTCACATTGCTTTATGTTATATGCCTTATAATGAAATGTTTACAAATAGATTATTGAAATATACATTGGGAATCCACTACTGTGGATTTATTTATTTATCATTTTAGATTAATTTAGATTAAATAATCATAGAAATAATCTATCCTGATTATGGATTTGGTGTGGTTTTGTACTTTTTATAATCTTGTTGGAAGATGAGTTTATACCTTTAAACTCAAAATGCACTGTGATGTAATAAATTCTTGTTTCTGAACTGATTTTTAGGAACTAGACAATAAAGAAAAGAATTTAAAGAAATTAGAAGACTCTCTTGAAGACTATAATAGAAAATTTGCAGTAATTCGTCATCAGCAAAGTTTATTATATAAAGAATATCTAAGGTATATATTTAGCAAGATTTCATAAATTTAATTGCAGTGTATTCTTCATAAAGAAAATAACATGGAAAATATATTTTGTCATTTCTTCTTTTTTTAAATGATAGGAATTGCTTTCAGGAATATTTATCTAAATAAAATAGTTCAATGATCACAAGCCTTTGTATGTCCTGACACTGGCTTAGTTAAATATTAAACCAGACTTTAACATTTGCTAGTAGAAGACAGAGCAAGTTACTTAATCAGTGTTTTCATTTCCTTTCCTTAAAATTTTCTGACAGTAATATTTTTAAGAGTATGTGAAAATGCCCAGAGTAATACATAGCACACATGAATATTTTGTGAATAACCACTGTTGTCAGCATCATTCATTATCATTTGAATCATTTCTTATATTTATGTGAAGGAAATTAACATTTCTCCTTAACTCTGCCATCTCCTCTATTTCAAAAGAATGATTTCCATGGTAAGAATTGGGAATTAGAATACCTAGTAAGAGTGATTTAGGCACTAAGGTAACTACCATTTGATTTAGCAATAGATGTAGATTGCTGTTATCTCCTACTTTGCTAATAATGCAGTTGTAAAAGATCATGATGATGAAACCACACTCACTAAAGAGAAGGGATACTGTGGTATTTTCCACATAATTTAAGGGTTTTTTGTCTGGTTCTTCCCCCCACTCCAACCCCACCCCTGCAAGATATCTGGCAGATTTTGATTCAGATCTCATTAACCAGAATTAAATTATGTGTCCAAATATCAACCATTCAGTACCAAAGAGAATGATACTACCATCATTAATTGGTTAATACCAAACAGATTATAATTGATTGTGGAATATCTCTTCTACAGGCAATGACCTCTTTGTGAATTGAGAAGATTTTTATATACTTACGGTGCACAACACAGTGCTTTAACATATATAAAATGATGAAGAGGGTAAATCAAGTTTTAAAATATGTGCATCCCATCACACATATATATATTTTTTTATTTTTTATTTTTTTGGGGTCCGGTCGTGGGGCCTGAACTCGGCCTGGGCTCTGTCCTTCAGCTCTTCAGCTCAAGGCTAGTGCTCTACCACTTGCCACAGCGCCACTTCCTGCTTTGTTCTTTTTGCTTATGTGGTGCTGAGGAATCTTACCCAGGGCCTCAGGCATGCAAGGCAAGTGCTCTACCACTGAGCCACCATCCCAGCCCCCAACCATCACATATTTTTAAGGATGAAAACACTTAAATGACTCTTTTAAGTCTAATTATTTCTATTGTTGATGTTCTAAACATTTTTCAAGTAATCAGTGGTAATTAGGTCAGAATGCTGACGCTTGATTCCTGAATTAGTTTGGAGTAAGGACTCAATTGCAGTTATTATTCTTTCATATTAAGGCTACTGAGTACCCTTTAAACAGATTTTTATATCCTTTTGACAAAAACCAACTAGTCTTTGAACCAAATTTCAAACCTTGGTTTATCTTCTGGAACAAGATGGTCTAGAAATACTTATCTGTACTTTATGTTTGGATTTAAAATAGACCATTATGTTACAATATTTTCAGAATTACAAATTAGAAAACCAAAAATAATTTGATAATAACTTGTTACTTTACATTTACCTAAAAAATTGAATGAAAATGTAAACTCTTTGTCTATCAGATACTGAATCTCTAGGATGTCTCTTTTTAAACAAATTAAAAAAAAACTTAGAATTTCCATACTTAAAGTCTTCATATAACTAACCATTTTATTGGATTTACTATGTCATCATTTTACTACTGTTATTACTTTATGAATTTTGTTTGTTTTTAGTGAAAAAGAGACCTGGAAAACAGAATCTGAAACGATAAAAGAAGAAAAGAGAAAACTGGAGGCTCAAATTCAACAAGATGCTATAAAAGTAAAAGAATATAATGTAAGTAAGGCTATTTTAATATCGGTATACAGTTTTCCTACTGAAATCACTAGATTCAGTAACATCAAAGTGTTTTGTGCAGAATTTGCTCAATGCTCTTCAGATGGATTCGGATGAAATGAAAAAAACACTTTCAGAGAACAGTAGAAAAATCACTGTTTTACAAGTGAATGAAAAGTCACTCATAAGGCAATATACAACCTTAGTAGAAATGGAACGACACCTCAGAAAAGAAAATGGGAAACAAAAGAATGACTTAATATCCATGGAGGCTGAAGTTTGTGAGAAAATTGGATGTTTACAGAGATTTAAGGTACTTCTGATACTTAGTCTTGAGTTTCTGTCTCTCTCTGTCTCTGTCTCTCTCATATATATGTGTATACATATACATATATATGTGTGTGTGTGTATATATATATATATACATGCTGCAGATAGGTTAAAATTATGAACACCCAACATCTATTACTAGAATGACACTTGACATCATTATTTCATGTTTTTGTTGTTTTTTGTAGAAAGTTTTCATTGTAGACATTTCTCTCCTAAATAGTTTTATTACACATCTCAACAATACAAAACTTATTTGTTGACATACCAAAATGACTTTATCTAAACATTTGACAAATAACTCCCTAATTTACCTAATGCCCAAACTATGTTTACATTTCCTCAGTTTGTCCCATGCTCTAGTCAAGAATTTTGATATAATATAAATGTTTTTTGAAGTTTAACCAGGATTTATTTAAGTAAGTCAAAGTATCAAAGTAGAGCTGGGAGAGATTGAAAGGGAAAAAGGAGCACCTCTGGGAAACATGAAGGATGTCATGGCAGGAGGCTCCAAATGACAGCTCTTGTCTTAGTGTACTCACTCATTCTAGACAAAGCTGAAGAGTCCTCAAGTTTTCCTGGATAAATTCATCAACATAACAATTGGTTTAGGGTAGTTCCATAGTCAAAGACTTATGGGTCACTTATTTGTGCTTAGATGAAGAAAAGAAGCTCACAGTGAGCTATGAAGTGAATTACAGATATTTTTCTAGCACTATTATACTTCACAATGAATCATAACTAAGTCCTTTCTTTTTCTTACCTCATGAATTCCATTATTTACACTGTTTCTTAATAAGCTACCTTAGAACAGCCTTAAGGCACCACTGTGATGCAGAAGCTTGCTAGATTTTTTTTT